GAAGGGTGGGCAAGCTTTCATTGAGATGATAAGGGATGGCCACATGCAGAAATGATGAAGGCCTTCACTGCTCTCAAGGAGAATCCATGGAGGGCTGGAAGTTTCCAACTCAATTCTTCAGAAGCTCACCAATGACTCCCCTGTGCTGCACGGGAGACAGGCATTGAGTAAAATAAACTCGTTTTCGTTCGATATTCAACAGCTCTCGGTTTGTGTGAAGGATGACCTTATGTCTTTTCGGCTTCTTTGCCCTTGGGAAACACGGCCAATACGAGTGCGATGGCGGAGACCACCCCGATTCACCTAGCCTTTCTAAGCAAGGTTCGAGACAAGAGGAAGCGATACCCTGCATATGCTATTCCACCCCTCCACGAACCTGCACTAACATGATCTGTATGCGAATGCGGTGCCATCATGTTAGGTCACCTCACGACCCAGAGCAAAGATGAGACGGCACGTACCTGAAACAGGTCACAGCGTGCCTCGCTTAAGCACGCAGGATTCGACAGACATGTTCCCAAAGTTCCAATCAAGAGCTCTTGTGGGGAGCAAACGGTGCCCAGCGAGGGGCATAATAAGGAACTTTGGAGGGGGATGTTGCTCGTTGTCAGAGACTATTGGAGGCAGCTGAAGAAGAAATGTAGCTACCTGATTAAAGTAGAGCTGTAGGTATCCGCCGGCAGCTCAAGTCCCGTCCAAATGACAGGCTCTAGCCTAGCCGCCAATGCAGCCAGCGCGTCATGACCTGAAGCCCAAACCAGCATTACCAATCGTCGACTCCTGAGCGGTCTGTTGTTAAGGTCCGAAGTTCCACCTACACATCTCCGTCTTACTCCTACACTCTGGGTTGATCTCAGTTTCTTTTCTCTGCAAGCTAGAGACGACGATGCTCAGAGAACGATAGCCCTGCTGTACACTACGTCACCATGGCGGGCAGTCTTCACGCCCAAATCACCGAGTCGCTGACGCCTGGGCGCGTCTTCAGCTCCCTCTTTATCGTCTTTGTTGGTTTGCTCATTCTCGATCACACATGGAAGCCCACATACCCAGAGAACATTCCCGTTGTGGGCTATGGGAAGGGGACCGTCGCACGCTTCAAGAACTTCTACTACTACATGTTTCGTTACCGAGACTGGGTCATTGAGGGCTATAAGAAGGTATGCTATCACTCCCAGCGCGAGCGACTTGGTGAGGCTTGAAGAGACACTGACTTTGTATGTGACAATGTAGTACAACAAGCAGAACCGCGCATTCGTAGTCCCCGCTGCCGCTAGTAGAGCGCCCGACATCATCCTCCCGCAGTCCCTCACGAAATGGCTCCTCGAGTACCCCGACTCAGTCGTTTCCGCCCATGAAGCGCATAACGATGTCCTCTACAGCGACTACAACTTCCTTGGAAAGGTTTATGCCGATGATGTGTGGCATACTCTGGTAATCCATAAGAGTCTGGCCCGCCACCTGAGCACACTGATCCCCGCGATTGAAGAAGAGGTCTCCGTCGCTGTCGACGAGGCCTTTGGCACGGATACCGAGGACTGGAAGACCCTCAACCTCTGGGACGCCTGGCTGACGATCGTGCCGCCCGTGACGAATCGCATGCTCGTGGGAGAGGGCGTATGCCGCACCAAAGAGTTCTGCAAGGCTATGGTTTCGTTCGTCGACCAGGTCATTCTCAACTGCTTTGCGCTGCACATGGTTCCCCAGACCATCCTGCCCATCCTCGGACCCTTGATCGCATTACCCAATTGGTGGCTTTGGCGCAAAGCCTCGAAGCACAGCCTACCGGTAATTAGGAAACGGCTCGACGATATGGCAAGGAAGGAGGCGGGGGATCCGGCCTACGAGAGCTGGGTTGCGCCCGAAGACTTCATCACCTGGGATATCCGCATGGCAAAGGCTGAGAAGAAATTCTTCGAACTTGACCCCTACGTTATTTCGAAGCGACTGTTGCCTATCCAGTTCGCCGCGATCCACACGACTGTCATTACCGGCCACAGCATTGTCCTAGACTTGTTGAGCTCCGACCCAGCGAAGGGCTATATCGAGGGTATCCGGGAAGAGGCAGAACGCGTTCTCCGCGAGGAGGGCGGCAGCTGGACAAAGAATGGACTATCGCGGCTGTATCGCCTTGACAGCGCAATCCGTGAAAGCCAAAGACTCAGCAACTTTAGCTGTACCCTGATGGAGCGTAAGGTCATTGCCAAGGAGGGCATCACCAACGAGCAGGAGGGGTGGCATCTGCCAAGAGGCACGTTTCTCACCGTTAACCTCGAAGGCCTCCACCACGACGACGAACTGAACCCCAACGCGAGGGAGTACGACGCCTTCCGGACGAGCAGGAAGAGGGAGGAGTACGAGGCGAAACCGCAGTCTGAACGCAACCTGGACGAGGGGCTTAGGTTGAAGAACCTTGGCATGGTCACAACGAGTGATGCTCATCTGCCATTCGGCCACGGACGACACGCTTGGTAAGCAGCTCTCTCTCTCTCTCTCTCTCTTTTATAGCCGCCATCTTCTCAGAACTAACGATATGCAGCCCTGGCCGCTTCTTCGTCGCCCACGAGCTGAAGATGGTAGTTGCCAACTTGTTCCTCAATTATGACGTTAAGCCGCTGGCTGAGAGGCCCAAGCACCAGTGGGTCGGCGTCACTGTTGTCCCTCCTGTTGACGCAAAGATCGAGCTGAAGCGCAGGAAAGGCACTGTATAGATAGGATGGTGACAGCGATTTATTTGATGGTAACGAATATCATGAATGACTGGCGTATTTGGACAGGACTGGATTACAGAACTCGACATACTTAATTGTGCACAAGATATCAATATAGCGTCGTTTTACCCTCATTGTCCCTGGTATCTAGCATTTTTTAAGCCGCCCCTTCCTGTTTTCTTCCATGATTTATGTATGTGGTTCTCGTCCAACCACACCGAATCTCAAACGAAGAAGTTGGCTAAAGCATCATACTCTCTGTAGCGGCCTACTCGTCGTCTCCGGTTGGCTTCGGCCGCTTAGCGATGGGGATTCATGTTCCCTCACAGCGCTCGGCGATGCTCCCTCAAACGTGCGTAGACAGCTTCGCCTCCAACATTATCCCAGCTAGGCAACTCCGACTCTGTGGACGCCTGAGAGCGTCCACCTTCTTGTTCCATGAATATTTGGACAGGCACCAACAGAGGAAGCTCGGCTCCTCCCGCCGAGACCTTGATCTCAAGAGTATACGTCCGCGAGATCAAGCAGGAGTGGAACGTAGGCGGAAAAACGTGACTTGAGGTTGGCAGTCCGAAATCGACTTGCGTCGAACATGTATATGTGATTGGTACACCATCATCCTGGGTGCTGCTGTTGCGTATCACCGTGATGTCTCTCGATCCTCGATTACCTCCCTTAGTTCTTCCTGAGTTCCCATCCTCCAGAATGTGAACATGTTGAATCCATGGTGTGATGTTTGTGGCGTTGACGATAGTAGGGGTAGACAGTGTGATTGGCTCTCGATTTACGCCAACGTTGGGAAAACTTTGTGCTGGTCGCGTAGAAGCCCAGTTTTGCGCCAATATACTCGTAGACTTGATCTTGACCTGCGGCGGTAGCATATCTGGCGCCGTAGGGCAGAAAGCAAGGTCGATGTAGGCTGACGAGCTGGACGCCGCGTGTCCATCAGAGCTCAAACGGATAGCTTGGGGTTGGGATGACTTGGCCCTGATCTGGCCTGTAGGTACAGAAAATATATTCTTTCTGACAGGTTTGGCACTTTCGAGGGCGTAATGAAGGTCGTTCTCGTCGAGGATTAGGGGCGGATCTTCCGGGGATGGCGCGAGGATGCTAATCGGATGCTCAGACTCTAGAATCGGTGCCGGTAGTTTTACGGGACTACTCTCGTCGATGTTGAAAACCCTGGCCCTCACACTGTATTGTATCTTTGCCATATTTGTTGCTAAATCATTCTTCTCAAATCCGGTCAATGAAGACGGCAGGCGGAGATGGTGGTGTCGCACTGCTTCTGTTTGGACTTCGTATTGGCATACATTGCTGGTGAGTTGATGCGGAATGATGAAGCTGAAGGGTATTGAGTAAGTGTGTCCACGTCTGAATAACCTCGTTGAAGGGTAAGCTGATTCGGACACAGGCATGTACAGCTTCAAGAGTGTCTGTATCGTTTCGGTCACGACGTGGACATCTTCCCGTCGAACAATGGCTTTTCCCAGAAGATTAATCTCGACGAACCCGAAAGCTGTATTTTGTTGCGTGTTTACTTTGACGGTACCGGAAACCTGGGATCCTGCGGAGTATATCTTCGAGGTGTAATGATTGTCGACATGAACTTCCACGTCACTTCTCGTTGGCATGCCGATCAGTTTTGTCATCGATATCATTTTATTTCCGATTGCTCGCATGGTTCCTTTCTCATTGAATATTCCGCCTGACAGTGCGGCAGAAGCACTGGATCTGAAAGCTGAAGCTGACGGCTTGGATCGGTGATTGGAGCCAGCTTGGTTGGCTGTCATGGTAAGGGATTCTGCAACATTCTGAAGTTCATGGGATTGGACGAAAGCTAAACCATATGACTTCTGCCAAAGTAATTATGGATGCTGTGAGAATAAGATCCATAACACACCTCTATTCTCAGATAGGTCAGCTGGTTCATCTTTACATGTGTGCAAGCCTGCAAAAACTTCGCTGCTCGTGTGCTTGACTCTACGCCGATTACGCCGACTACTCCGCAACAATATCATAATCCATTCCGTTGGTTAGCTGAAACTGTCCGGATTCTCAAATCCGCCTGCCGACTCTACTTTTCTTACCAATCAGTGAAGGACAATTTGAACATTTATCATGGATGGTAGTCATAGTTGACTCCCAACTCCAAGGCTATTGCTCACCCTGCTCCATACGTGGGCCACTTGGCGCCCCAGTCACCGAAATGAGTGCACTCTTGACAAGGTCTCCATATGACATTCTGCGCCCTTCACTAGTTCAAAACAGCCAGGTTTATGTGCTGGCTAAGCTCCCTAGATTTTGCACATTCCGATGTCGGCAATTCGACCCGGCCAGTTTCCAACCCGCCGTCAATCTAGCCAAAGCCTCACATCTTGGCCTTTTCGAACTTTCCATGCCTTCCCGCTCCCTTGGAAAATTCCGTTGCACCCTGAACACTCTCCGTATTGATCACTTTGATTCCCTGGTCGAATTCGTTGCTCAGAGCATCCTCAAATGAGCTAGCGTTGTATGCCGAGTAGTAACAGCTCGTTCTGTCAGTGTTCATGCAGGCCTGTGGGAACGCCAGCAATTGTCGAGCAATATTTGTTGCTTCTGCCAGAGCCTGGCCCCTGGGCACAACCCGATTAGCTAGGCCCATCTGCAATGCTTCTTCTGCGGATACTCCGCGGCCGGTGAGTATCATATCGAGGGCTCGACCGAGGCCCACGATGGCTTGTAGGCGAACAGTGCCGCCGTCAATGAGAGGAACGCCGAACCGTCGGCAAAAGACTCCAAAGACCGCATCATCTTCAGCAACACGGATGTCTCCGAGAAGAGAAAGTTCCAAACCTCCGGCAACGGCATACCCTGATACTGCACTGATGACTGGCTTCTTGATTTGCATTCGCGATGGGCCGATGGGACCGATATTGCGGCCTCGAACTCGATGACTGTGTTCGATGATGGGCCCATTGTAGCTTTCTTTCCCAGACCCATGCCCATACTTTGCCACTTCATGGAGGTCGAAACCAGCACAGAAAGTGCCATTTGCTCCATTGAAGACACAAACCTTCTGGACAGGGTCGTTTTCGAAAGCTAAGAAGGCGTCGGTAAGTTTGTGAGCAGTCGGTCCATCAATTGCATTCCTTCGATGCTCTCGGTTGATGGTTATGGTGGTAATACCATCGGATGATTTGGTCACTTGAACTGCTTGTGGTTCATTATGCGCCATTTCAAATCAAGTTAAATTGAGCTCCAGTACTTTTTGTTTGACGTCAGAGTGAAATTATAACTTCTTCGACCCTGCGAAGAGAATGGTCAGCTTCAGAGATGATTAACGCTTCCACGGTTCTATCTACGTCATCTTGACCGGTCTTACTGCAGCTTCCCCGCTATGATCATGGCCGAAAACCTTGAGCTGTCTTGTGACTATGACGGTCTCCAAATATCCAGGTTCAACCACTTAGGTATGTGACACTCGGATTACTCCGTTGATAGCTGAGCCGACGGCAACCGAGTATCGTTCATTCTTGACGTTCATCACGCGGGTTGATTCAGAGTTCATTAAAAAGGTGAATAGGTCCAGAAAAGTGACCTGCTTGTTAAACTAGCTGCAAAATTCCTCGCTGGAAGACCTTTTCGTAGATCTTCCAAGGGCACTCCGCCAAGCGTCAGGCACAAGGATGGGCCTCTGTCCCAAGCCCGAGCTCTGGGATGTTGACAGCTCTCCAAGCCCCCGGAAAAGGGTTACACACCATAAGCAGTTCCAATCAACGCGGAATCCGACAGGCGGTCTAGTTGGTTTCTGATTTTCTTCGATATACAATTGTCCCGCAGAAGGTCAGACAGCTCATGAGGTTCAAGCCTGAATCATCAGACACTTAGACTTCGGACCAAAGGCAGTTGGATTTCTTCCAGGACTCCTTAAGCATCTCTGATATCAATGCGCCGACATCTTTGGGTGTCAATCTCAGGACTTGTGTAAGAAGATACATGCCAAAACCAGAAAGACTTTCATGGACTGAAAGCCGGGATAAGTCCCCAGCTTCCTCTAGCTTTGGGTTGCTGGGCCATTCATAAAGTGGTGCCTTCGTTTTTTGCTCCACGATGTCAACGACTCCAGTTTCTTGTAAGAGATTCTCAATGTTGTATCTCTGGCAAGTAGCAAAGTCCGACCTATTTTCTCGCCGACCAAGTCCAGTTCAAAGTGCAATCGTCTGAGATAAACTCGACGTTCGATGGTACCCAGCCAGGTTGGATTGACCTTAGACTTCGGGTGCTGGTCCCCTAAGTCAATGGCCCAAATTCCGGTTCCTGTTCCAACATCGAGCACCCATCCAGGCCTATCGTGTCTGTCAATGGGAATGAAAGATAAGCGGTGATCCAGAAATATCTAAAGAGCATGGTGGATAAGATCGAGTCCCTCATTCTGTTTCTCGTCGTTCGGAGCCCAGTACCCTCCGGTCTTGCTATTTTGATATGTTCTATCGTGTAGTTGTCGGTATTACAGACTACTCGAGGAGACTGGAGTTGTAGATGAGTAGATGCTTAATGTTTCCTGTGCATGGGCTTAGACCTCTGCATCGAGGACAGTCGCTATCTTTCTACGTGGGTCCGATGTCATACTGTCGGTTTCTTGGTATTATCTTTCACCCGTTATTCGGGCTTCTCGAGGGTAGAGGCTCGTTCAAGGAGCCCCGGAAATTCATGGGCTTCATAGGCCGAGCACGCTTCCTTTAAACGCCCGAGAAGTTGGAATGATTCTGGCAAGCTTAAGTTGTTGCTGGTTTGTGCTGCATCTTGATACAGGAGTGTGGAGTTGAAGGAGAATTCACAGCATACTCGTTGAGGCACAAGCTACAGGGGTCTCGACTGGTACCCCCAAGAGTTTACATCTCTGTTCAAGCGTTGAGGATCCAGCAATCTTGGCTTCAACTGCATCTTTGATAGCAAGGCTGGCCCCTTGCATCACAAGAGTCTCACACAGAGCCACAGGGTAAGAAAGGCACGTTGCCATCAAATTTGTTAGGAAACAACATCAATAAGAGATGATGCCTCGATAGATTAAGCCTCCTTAGCTATGTGGACTGTTGTCACTTTACTCTATGAAACACATACACAAAGATCAACGCTCCTTTTGTCTGAGAGAGATCTCAAGTATCTCTTGCATTTATTCCTTAAGATGAGGTTGGTTGAAAGACTTTGTACACCGCAATCATATCCTGCTCGCTCAGGCCGGCATCGCTCGCCTGTCCGTAAATCGAACGACACAACTCTGCCAGAGGCGACTGTACGTTCGCCCGCCTCGTGGCTTCGGTGATGAGTTGCATGCTATTGTAGCAATCCTTCATAGATGCTTGTGGGTTCCAATCCCCATTGAGAATCTTGGCGACCTTGATCTTCGAATATGCGGAAGCCATGGGACCGGCGTCGAGTACCTGCCCGAAAGCATCGAGATCGAGGCCCTGCGCCCGAGCGAGACTGAACGACTCTGCAAGAGCGACCGTCATGGTGTTGAGGTAGAGATTGACCGCGTACTTGGTCTTCAGGCCTGAGCCGATTGGCCCGCAATACACGGCAGCGGTGGTAAGCGGCTCCACCACCGCCTGCATACTCTCCGCCACGGCCGGATCGCCGGCCATAAGACCCACTAATTTGCCTTGCTCCGCCGGGATTCTGCTGCCGCTGACCGGCATTTCAAGGAAGTTGCCTCCCGCTTTGTGAACATGGTCCGCTACTTGTTTGCTGACTTCCAACGGGATCGAGCTCGTGTTTATCAAAGTTTTGCCGCAGAGTGCCGATTTAAAGTCGTTGTTGAAAATCGAGATTAACGCTGGGCCGTCGAAGAGCATAGTGAAGATCACATCAGATTGATGGGCCACCACCGCCGGTGTATCGCCGATCTTAGCGCCAACTTTTGTGAGCGCTGGGTATTTGGAAGCAGTCCGGTTCCACACGGTCAGTGGAAACTTGTGAGCGAGGTTCAGGGCCATCGGAGTTCCCATGACCCCCAAACCCAGAAAACCAACACGCATTTTCCAAAGCCTGGTCTTCGAAGCTTTGTAGACGGTTGTCGAAAACGCGATATGGGGGATTGAACACGTATGAAGATAAGAACCGCAACCTTAGAATCTTACACTACTTTGCGGGAGATGGATAACCCGTTGGCTTTAGAAAAGTCGGGAAAACAACTTCCCATTAAACAATATTCGTGGATACAGGAGAGACAAAAGCTTCGCTCTAATACTCTGCACACGACTAGTACCTTACGAAATCACTAAATCCATTCGATGAGGGTGGACGAAGCATTGGTTTTTAGCGAGATAGACTCACGCCCTAGGGCGGCATTTCTATCAATAGGACAGGTTACGGAGTAGTCCCTGCTGACGAGCCCCATAAAATCCATGTCAACTGCTCCCTACGCCCTACTTGTGATCCAAATCGCAGGGCGCATGTGGATTCGGCCGGTATCGCTGCGATGCGAGTAAAAGGATGGTTTGTTCAAAGGTATCTTGAGTCATCATCTCTAGAGACTTCAATGGTGGACTCCTTTTCTAGAATTTTAGAATGACAGGCTCAAGTGCTACGCCTTTCGCGCGGAGTCTAACGCATGGGGGCTGAGAAGCTATACACCATGGACCAGTCCAATGGAATGATCGCCCAATCTCGTACAGCCACATTGGAGGCAAAAATCTTGTTCACGAGTGACTCAGTCCTGGGTCATCGTCAAGAATGCCCATCTCGCGCTTAAAGTCTCGAAGCCAGTCTGGGTTGTCCGCTGGAGTTTGATTCCATGGATCATCACTAAGCTATCGTCAGCTCTGAGTTATTATAAGTAAGGTAATCTTCAAGAGGTATTACTCTTCGAAGGAAATCCACCTCGCCTGATGTTGGAGTTCGGCATCAGTGGGAATTCGCCTGTTCGGATTGCGTGGTGACGTCGTGATGGTCACGAAACGAGTGAGCTCTTTCATAAGTTTCCTGTAGCAATTGTCGTCGTTGACGAAGAACGAGGAGGTCGAGTACACTTTGCTAATGTCGCCCGTCTTACCGCCGCCAGCATTCACCTGTGTCGGATCCGGTGTGCTACCTGAAGAAAGATTTGCCCCCGAAAACTCGAGACCGGCCTCAGCTGCTATGGAGCTTAGAATGCCTTCGGATACGCCGGACGGAGGGATAGCATTCGAAGCCTCCGACGGCAAGAGTCCAGTCCGATGACGGAATGCGGCAAGCCAGTGAGGAGAGCCATTGATGAGACTAAACAAAAAGTTTGTAAATATTTCTGACGGATTGGGCGAAGAGGCCTCGATCCTTTCGACGATGTTGCAGGCCTCTCGTTGCAATTCGTCGTCGGAAATTTGTGGCTCAATCAACTTGGATATCTCCACGTAGCTCTGCAATTGCTCTTCCAACCCGCAGGCCTCAAAGATGCACGCTTTACCGTTTATGCTAAGATACGTGAATCGTGACCTTGCGTTGTTCTTCATCGGTCGGACCCGCGCCTGCTGTACGATGGATTCCGATGACATGAGCAGATCTCGCAACCAGCTCTGGGTTGACGTTGCAGGTCTCTTGGAAAACGAAATTGAGTCGCATCCGAAAATGACGCAGCAGCTCTCGTATAAAAGTTCTGCATTCGTAGGCATCTCGTCCTTGGTGTTTTGGTGTTCGGCGGAAAAGTGTTCAAGCTCTAGCTTGATCAGCTCGTAGGCATTGGGCGGTGTCTCTGGAACACCTTGCTTCGTTGTAAACGGCCATGGTGAGTTGCGTTCCATGTGAATCAAGTCTGGGCAGCACCGATTAGATCTTTCATGCTTCGGTTCTCTAACGGCACAGCGGCACTTACAAGGCTGCACCGAATTCTCGACCATGTTCAAGACATTGTCGTCGAATCCCCAATCACCATGCCAATCTGCCATCGTCTTTCCGTCTTTGAAGTGCTCGGCCAGATGATCTATCCGGTCAGTCCACGAAGACATCGTGTGGCCGCAAAAGCCGCACCGGGAACGTATAATCTCGCTTTCGTATTTCCAATCTCCCATAGGCCACCTCAAGAATTTGGCATCATGAACCAGCTTCAAGTGTTGCTGCAGGTGATCTTTTCGATAAAACGTCCGGTCTTCAGGCTGACGGTCCCTACATGCTTGATAATTATGCTTCTCCAAATGTTCCTTATTCGGGTTCGCTTCGCTGCAAAAGATGCAAACCGACTGCCCGCTGGCGTCAGGGACA